TATATATTGTATATCGTATATTTCATATATGTATATTTCCTAGCTTGATAACCAACCGGCATTGTCTATGTATACTACTACCTACAGATCATGACAGACACGGAAAACAAAGTAGTCGAGATCACTGACGACAATGTTCCATCTGACGATGACATGCCCGCTCTAGAGGAGGCCACCGCAAACACCACTATTGAGGAGGGCGATGAAAGTGAGGAAGCTGCTGCCGAAGTTGGTATGTCGATTGATTTTTTATGAACATCAGGCAGCTTGGTAGTTATAGACGTTGTTCAAGAATGCTCTTCCTGAATGTGCATGATGGAAGCTTGTCAGTTTAAATACTCTCGTGATTTAATCTTGTACGTTATTTACTGATTAACGCTAAAGGTCGCTCCGAAAAGAAAATGCGCAAGGCTCTTATGAAGCTCGGACTCAAGCCCGTCCCCGGGATTCAACGTGTGGCCATGAAGAAGCAGCCCAATGTATGTTTACTTGTACTCAGTCACATTCTGTTTCCTGGTTCTAGATGTAGTAGTAACTGTGTCGTATATTGCATCGAGGGTTCGTGCGATAGGCTCAATCATGCTGTGCACAATAGTTTTGCGCTGAAGATGACTACTACAGCAATGTTAAGTGTCGTAGCCACACCTGTTTAGTCGCTTCTTTGTTTCTGTGTTTTTGACGTATAGATGGTTTTGTGTGTCCAAGTATCGCTTAGGTATGCAGATATTCATAAATGGTATTGTATCATTTTCGATTTTGTAGGTTCTTTTCGCTGTAAAGAAGCCCGACGTATACGTTGTTGGAGATACATACGTTGTTTTCGGTGAGTACAACGTAGAGGACATGAACGCTCAAGCGCGCGCACAGGCCCAGATGATGCAGCAGCAACAGGCCGCCGCCGGTGGTGATGGTGCAGATGATGATGATGATGACATTCCTGCACTTGAGGAGGTGAGTGTATACACGTACGATGTATTTTTTGTTTATCTATGTGTATATATGTATATAGACATGTAAAGATCTACTTGGCCGTATCATTTCCTACCTACGTAAAGTATTGAATTTAATTCCTGGCATGATCGGTCGTATTTATAATGAAAATTTTCTAGAAAATATACGAAGGGGTTCAATGTGTCACTTTGTGGCTGTTGTTGAGTCTATATGGTGTAGACCATGCCTTCGTTCGTATCGTTCTATTATTCTAGTCGGACAAACTCGGAGCATGTCCTGTATATGTTTTCTTTCTATTTATTTCTATACGAAGTGTGCAGACAGTCATGGTAACGTTCTATCTGTTTATCTGAGTGCAGCTACTTACACGCTTTTGGGTGTTTAACAGGCACCAGTTGACGAGGGAGATGTTGACGAAACTGGAGTAGAAGCTGAGGATATTGAGCTTGTTGTTCAACAAGCGAATGTTAGCAGAGGACAGGCCGTTAAGGCTCTAAAGGAGAATGATAACGATGTAGTCAACGCTATCATGGTATGTTATTGATCTTGTAACATTAGCATCAACATAGAACAGTGGAGACTCGTAAACCATTTTCCACATCATTGTTGTGTATTACTACCTGTGATGCCCTTGTGTCAGACATTCGGCTGAATAGTCTGAATGTTTTGTTAGTTTCTTCTGTAGATTTATTGTATAATATGTGTAGTCAAGTTCGTTACTTTAAACAATACAGTATTCTTTATTGAATATTGTCAACAGTAGTCGTGTACAGAATTTCAATGAAGCTAAACTTGTTCTGCATCGTTTATTATTACAGACCCTGACCACTTAATCGCTCTGTGGATATTTTATTGAAGTAAGTGACGTGCCTTCTAGGCCTCACACTATAATTTCTCTGCATCTGAATCGGCGAGGAAAGGCAACAGCTGACGATGTCATAAGCTGCATATGCACGATAATATTAGGCCGTATGTGCAACTTATGTGAGTTATTCGATCCGGCTGCCATTCCCTGTTGTTCAGGGCCGCGAGTACGGGTGAGAACCCTCATGCTGGTCAACCATGTTCGTTTGCTACCTGAATTTGTATATTAGTGAAACATAGATAGGAGTACCTTAAAATATACGGTCGGGTGGACCAGCATATCATACCAAGTGGTTTAAGTTTCCGTTTATGAGGGTTTCCAATCTATCAACCTCCCGGTTGGGGGACGAGATTGAGGGAGATGGAAACATCCCGTGATATCAAATTTTTATCATTCAAACCTTTTAACTGCAATATTCTCGAGGGTCGATTAGCGTACATTGACTGTGTCTCGGATAATACATCTGGTTAGCTGGTTTCATTCACAGGATGTCAGAGATGCTGATAGAAAACCTATCAACCATCTCACTTGAATGGTGGTTTTTGAGTGCGCAACGTGCAATTTCGTAGTATTCGATACATTCCTCATGCTGCTCTTCGCTCCGCACAAGTATGTATTACACTTGCGATATGTTTCATTTAGGTTTTGGCAGATTTGGCGGTGTATTCGTCTTGAAAGTCAATTGATTAACATTTAGGCTCACGTGCTACTACGTTGTCGACGACTTGGCCACTTCGTTTCATGCAAGACCATCTGTGTACCCGGTTATAGATGTTATGGAGCATTGTGAAGTTTACCAGCAAGTGTCAAAAGGGAGTTCATGATATGCAACCTGACATTCTGTGTTCATAGAGCCACCCATAAAAGGCTTATGTGTATATTCTCAACCAGAGGGTGCTACGCTAACCGCAAATAGCGAGGGCGTTATGACGTACATTAATATTCGCGCTGTATCGATACAATTTTCTCTCCTCGTCGATATTCGTGGAGAAAGCGGTCACTTAATGCCAGTGATATCTACGATACATCAGCAAACCACCAGCATAGATCTTTCAAGTTGCAATTAAACACCGCATATAGGGATAAAAGTTTAAAGCCGACGGCTTGAACGTGACTTTTAAGCACACCATGATTTATCCCTTTACACAGACACACGATCTGGGAGTATACTCCCACATACGATCTCGGAATACAAGTCTAAGGTCGCGTCAACTGTTAGTTGTGCGGGTTCCTTGATTCGTCTCTGTTCGCCCGTTGATTAGAACCCGCACGTCCTTTACTGGACACATAAGGAGTTAGTGGTGTATTTCTTTGTACTCCCGAATCGCAATTGTCCAATTAATTTGTTATGTCTCGAGAGAAAACTGGATTATGATTATCCCCATGTGAGCAACACGGTGGGCTCGAGGCGAATCAGTTGGTGGCTTGGTTCTACAACTAATAGCCTTTCAACAGGGGACGATTTGCCGATACATAGATCTCAATAAAGTACCTGAACACAAGTCACCATAGCAAGTGTATCAAGTTGGAAAACTAATTATGGATGTCATGTACTCATTCCGATATTGTGTATCAGCTATATACTAACTAATTTTTATTTCGTTCTAGTTCGCTAAATAGTGGTACAGGTTTGAACCAGGCGTCTATTGTACTACTTTTTGTTTGACCACACCCAAGACTTAGACCCCGGACAGCTTCTGAATGCATTGACAAACGCCTCTGGTGACTCTGCACCCTTCAGCGCGAATGATCCATTCATCACATAACTTGGAACACTAGAGATACCCAATTTCTTATACTTGTCCAACTCTTTCTGCGTGCTTTTAGCGGCCTCCTTGCTGAGTATATACTCTCGACTCTGCTCGCCATCTAGACCGCATTCCTTGGCTATACGCACAAGCACATCCACATCGCCCAGGAACGCTCCGCTTGTGAAGTGTGATTTGAACAGCTTCTCCTGCATTGTAGTCTGTGCTTCACTGCCAAGTTCCTCGAGTGCATAGTGCTTTAGACTGTGTGCCATCGTTGTGTTCGGTGTTTTGCTTGCTTTTCCCGTGAACTTGATCCCCACTTTTTTGCCCATATTAGCGAGTGTTTTATCTTTATTACCACCGCTCTTCTTGCCCACAGCAATGCCTTCCGTGGGTACGTCTGGCTTGAGCATGTACGGCAACCAGCGAACATGTACATCGACCTCGTCGCCACATGCTTTTATGGCTTCCTCCAAGTGTTTCTTTCCTACATAACAAAATGGACAGATGTGATCACTAACCACTTCCACATAGACGACTTTGGCCATGGTTATTGCTGTCTGTATACTCTATTAGGATTAGATGAGGTTCGCCAAGGGTTCCTGATCTGTATGTGAAGTGTGAAGAGTGATTGCTGGTCAGTGGTGATTAGAGAGAAATTGTGGCCTCGTTACGTTTATATATTTACATTATTTTATAATAATGTTTAGATATCAAAACGCTATACGGTTAAACGTATACGCTGAACTACCATAACGTAATGAGGGTTGCGACGAGTGTAGGAAAGTATAAATATATAGTACGTAATACGATTGCCACTTTAAAAGCAGCAAAAGAGTTGTGTGTGTACACTAGGGTTACACGGAAAGAAGCTAAGTGCTTGTAGTGTATTGGGGCATGACGCAGTGCGTATGTGTGTATGTTCTCTGCTGAGGTGGGGCACACGAGTTACACTAAAGTGTAAATATATAGTTATTACTACAGGGTTGATACTTGGGCAGCTGAGAGTTAAGTCTGTGAGTAGTGCGTGTGTGCGTGTGTTCTCTGCTAAGGTGGGGCACACGGGTTACACGAAAGTGTATAGCTAGTTATACTACTGGGTTGGTAATTGGGCAGTTTAGAGTCAAGAGCTGTGAGTGCGTATGTGCATGTATTCTCTGCTAAGGTGGGACACATGGGCTACACGAAAGTGTATAGTTAGATATTGCTACTGGTTTGGTACTTGGGCAGTTGAGAGCTGCGAGTGCCAGCAGGACACACGAAAGTATGTCAATGACGTAGTGTACTGGTGCATGTCGCAATGCTTATGTCCTCTGCTTGGACTATATACCTGGGACACGTGGAGGTATTTGTAGTACTGTAGTATATCAGTGCAATTCGAGTTGTCCGTTCCGCCTGGTATAGCGAAATGCAACTGTCGATTGGTTGGTATACGACTCAGTATCTGTCCGTGTATACAATTTGCCGGATAACATCACTTCATTGACCTACTAAGGGTATGGTATGCCTGTGTTGGTGTGGGTTCTTCAGACAGTTTGTCGGATGATATTATGTAGGAGTAAGAGCTGTGTAAGATGTTCTACGTATGACAAATCGAACTTAAGGTTTCAACGAGGGGTTAATAAACTTTTGCCACGATCAATTGTGCAAAGAATCGAGCTGTGTATATTCAGCCACGCAGAAGCGTTATCAACATCAGTCATCCTTCTTTGTGTACATATATTCGATGCCGTTTCAGAGTGGGACTTGTACATTCTAGTTTTTGGTTGCTTCCAGCCCAGACAAGTACGCGCTGCTTTGACGCCTGGTCGCTGGTTGTGTTTGAGTGACCAAACTGTGTGCTGAGGTTGTGTGTTCATCTCGGTGTGTTCATCTCGGTGTTTTGCTACGGTTCAGGTATTAACAGTCCTTAGAGTGGTTACGCTTTAGTGAAAGGTATAGAGACAGATTACAGAAGTGTAGCGATATCCAGTGCGGCAGGAGACGTGAGACTGGACGCAGCTCTCTTCTTGTTTCTAACCTGTCGCAGATTCAGACTATTATCGAGTTCTTTTGCATGTAACTGTTCTATGTTCCTGCACCTTTGAATGTAATATCTGTTGAAATACCAACCCTCTTCAATATTAGAGGAGAGATAAACTTGTTTTCTTAGCATCGTAGATTCACGTGCATTTTATTATAAGAAATATGTACTGCGTACCGCATCCGTATGTATCTTTTGACGTGCCGAACTTTCCGTAATAAACTCAGCTTAAGCAGGACCTGCATCCCTGGCGACGCTATCGAGACATAATTTAGTATTGCAGATTTACCTGTTGTGCCGGTTGGATACCAGAAAAACATCCTGTCAATATGGTAAGGAGGTTTTATCTTCTAGCAGTCACGGTCGTTGTATACAAGGAACGGACAACAACTGCGAAGTGCGAGTGTGGGTGTGCATGAAGATTGAAAGCCTGTCTGTGTCAGGCGGCTGACGTGAGTATAGTGTATACAGGTATTAAAAGTTGAATTTCGACATAACTCTTCGGATCGTGCTGCTTCAGACTTAGGTTGAATTTGATCTCTGCGCGGAAGATCAATGCTCAGATAGTCCTTCTCGCGGCATACGAAGTGCGTGCTGGATTTCCTCATTGTATCCACATAGTCGAAGCTTATGGCCGTGTGTGGGGTTAGCTTAGGGAGCGCAAGTTGTTATTGCGTTGGAGATGGTTTGAAGGGGAGTGGAACGGGAATACATTTAGATCATGTTACGTCGATGAAACGACTGGTGGTCAATCGCGGTATCTATCTTTTTTGCGTACTTTTGGTCTGATAGGTGAGAAAGGGCATGTCCTTCGACGAGAAGTGTTCGAAAATGGTCAGCATAATTCAGAGCTCGGTAAGAACAGATAAAGTAGGTAAATATTTTGCTATTGGTCTGCTTTGTTTCGTTGCGCATGTTCCGGATATGTGAACGGATACTATAGACCTGACGAGTTTTACTCGAAGACTCCCAATGCTAGGAGTTCTAATCCCAAAACTCTAGGATAAATCATTCGAGGTCTATTTCTGACTTTCAGGCAAAATGCGGGTGTTCTAACAATCTGGCTGAAACATGAGGACTGTTTACGTAGTGCTCATAAGTTGCATTCGAAGCGGAACATTCACGTCACTGAAAAGTGCTCCAATGGCTGATATTTGGTGTTGGATAAGTCATTTGAGTATCGTAGTTGCCAGTCGATTAATTCGATTCTCAAAGGCAACCGCTGGGATTCTAAGAGTGTTGCTGATACCATTACGCCTCTGTGTGCTACACAGGGCAAGTTCTATCAGCTGAGAGAGCTGGAAAAGCTGGGAGCGGCGCAGGGAATTGGTACCTGCTGTATATACATATTTCTGGTTAAGTTGATATTGGTGTGAAGCACATAGCACACTGAGTAATTGAGGCCACATCCTGCCCATCGCTTGTTCGCTGCTATCAGTCCACATATTAGAAAACAAGTCTGAGCCCGATAAATGCAGATGACTACTCTGTATCTAGCAGATCATGCCTACTTTTGCACCATACATACACTTTTCACGCGAACGGCTAAGTTCTGAGAGCGCTCGGCAGAAGCGATGGTGCAACTCCATCTGTATGGGGAACTTGAGGAGTAGTACATGTCTTTAACCCTCCCACTGCTGTACACAGTGATGCAGAGTATCAAAGAAGTGGTCGCCACGATTTTATCAGAGAATAAGATTATATGCGAGAAGATCGGCACCTCAAATTATTACTGGAGTTTCTCTGAAACCATAGTTATCCAGGTGAATGGTTCTGGATTGTCACAATTCGCACTCTCAATTGCTGTGGGTACGGGCTTACTTTTCCGTCTAGAATGACACACTGCAGCAATATTTGGGGCGTGAGACTTGCTGTCTAAAGCAAGGGATAAGCTGCAGTTCAAAGCTTACGCTTGGTTCGTCTTGGCTGCCAATAGTAGATGCTGCATATAAAACGACGTGTAGGCACTATCTGCAAGATTCTGTATCGCGTATGCGTGTGTATTGACATGCGCAACAAAATTATCTGTTGCTTTTTACCTGGTTTGGTCAATGACAAGACAAGCGAACGCATCAGCAAATTGGAGAAACAACTGACGCTCACCGCTGAATCCGTGAAGAAGCTTGACGAAACCATCAGCGCACTTGAGCAGGAACGCACTGATACGGTGAGTGAGAAGGATTTGATAGGCAGGTGAATATGCTGGAGCACGAGGCTCTGATGTTCAAGGTGCATGTGCTTGTACCTGTGCCCGTAACTTCTCCCAGATTGGACGCGGTATGTAATTCTTTGTTTCTTCTTATTCGATCACATCTCCACCTATGATGTTCGCAGGAAGAACGGCGGGGACTGCTACATGAGTTCGAAGAGCTGACCACAACAGTCACAGAGCTGGAGGAAAAATCGAAGAGTATGGCCGATAGAGATCCGAAGGTCATCGAGGCAAAAGGTACGAGTGGTTCATAGAATTTACGGAAGCCCATGCAAAATAGTCCTCGGTCACAGCCGAAGAAAATTAAACACGGTTTCAGGTATAAATTGCAATTCAAACGTCGTGTCATGTTTATTTCAAATCGACTGCATACGTGAAGGTTGACCGATGACATAAAAACTTATAAGTTCGCATGCCGATAGTCACTGCTTGAATTTAACGCAACTGTGGAGTGCAATATAATGCACTGTGGAGTCTCCAAAATTAGGCGATAAAGACCAGTGTAATACACACTCAATTGCCACTCTAACCCTCTGAAGCAAGCCACCAAACAATTTGAAAGTGGACTAGAGGCTTGTAATCTCACAAGCTACATGTCATCCTTTGTGTGACTCGCTATTCCCTGCAGAGGAGTATTTGAGACAAGCGATAGATGGCGCTAACCGCTGGACAGACAATCTGCATTGCACCCTGCATTTCATCAAACGAAAGACCGGACGAGAGATAACAGTCGCTGGAGGTCTATTAGAATACATCAAAGAATGAAAGAGACTAGGTGACGGAAGTTCCAACGTGAGCTTGCACCAGTTGGGGGTTAAATGTGCACTTACTTATTCCAGTGAGAATAGGTAGGGCCTTAAGGCATTCTGAGGTTTAATCGTCAATCAATGCCAATATGATGACACTTTGGCAAAGGCCAAAAGACTCCTGGCTCAAGATAAAACTTTCGACAACTGCACGTGTATTTGAGGTCCAGGTTCTTGGATCTACGACATATACAAAACTATGGAATGCAAAGTTCAGAACAGAAACCGATGGTTATTGGCAATACAATAAAGCAGGAGGAGGTACAATGTATGTTGAAATAACAAGTACTTTCGACTACCGATACATACCCAAAATTACCAATTGGACTCGCAGATTTGTGAAGAAAGGCAAACCTCCTGAACAACCCATGCACTTGGCAATAATGGAAAGGAATTTTGACTCGGCTCGTGTTCACACCTTGCCATAATTGACCGACATTGTATTCGAGAAACTCTCACTATTTCGTTTACATCACATACCATCGGCACATTCAGGCACTAAAGATAAGTCTTTCATATCAAAGAAGAACAACTAATTGATCTTTATTGTCAATTCACTAAATTAACGTATCGTTTATACTATAATTTTTACTTTGATGACGAACCTTGCACAGCGGCGATGAAAGCTCCAAGATGATCGGGCTGGTGGTCGGGATTCATGCCGTGTCCCATATTGGCTATGTAACTATAAATATAACGTAAAACAAAAAATATATTCAATACAAACACTTGGGTAGAGATACGAAATCAATGCGCACCAAAATTTGAAATGCAAACATTGTCAATTATCTCGGTTGAATGTATCAATACGTTAGGATCTGCGTTTTTTTCACGGCGCACGTTCGCTCGTGCTTTGTCATAGCAAAATGGGGTTTTTTCCAGATACACGGTTGCGAATCGATCCAAACAAGTCAGAAATAAACATCAAACCATATCTGTACACGAATCTAATTGATCTACCTATAGCATATTCTAATAAAAGCAGCAATTATGCATCCAAACATTCATCTGGCAAGCAAGATATGCCAGGTGAAAGTACTAAAATGACTCACATACCGGCCCTTGCCTCCACCAAATCGTGCGACCATATCTGAAGCCACCTCTGCGATTGTCTCAGTTGAACCATAAAGGGCACACGGATCCATATTTCCTGGTTTTGTGAGGTTAAACAGGAGGCGATTTGATGCAAGAGCAAATAGTAAACAACGAGAGGGACTAGCGTGCTCGATCATCAATGGTACTTGTGCCACACTTCACAAGCATTCTCATTTGAAGCCCAAGCCGGCGAAGAGAATCAAAATAGAGGCTAGTACATCAATGTGTGTGATACTTCTATATCATTCTCTTAAAGAGTACGTTCCTTAAATTCAGGAAGTATAAGCTCAAATTGTGAGCAGGCAACATCACGGCAACACGCGTCGAAGACCATGCGGACACATAACCGATCATCTCGCCAATTATTAGTAAAGTGTATATTCGAACAAAAAACTATATAGCGCCGACCAGCTTATAATATATCTAGCTGATTTCACAAACGCGAACAGATGCACAACAAGACAAATGACTGGATGTCATCATAGTGTGGTACCTTGTAGAGTTTTTTTGCCGCCGGTGCGACGGATAGCTTCCTTTGGATCCATAGTCCAGTCTAGACCAATCACGTCGTAAGGGGACTCCGCCAGATCTTCAAGAGCATAGTGCGCTCCCTTTGCAAAGACAGTCATTGGCACGACGGTAAGACCTTCTGCGGCAAGTCTGAATGAATCGCGGACAGAAATCAGAGAACAATATACATCACAACTGGTACATTAATATATTAGAGACGATATGTATGCTTGCCAGCTGGCGACTGTATGACAGCCCATAAGAGTATCTGACAGCCTAATACATATGCCTAGTATGGGGTGCGGGGGGTTTTTTTGGGAGAATTATCCGGTCAAGCTCGTCTTAAATTGAAAAAAAACCTAGATCATTCTGTCGTTTCAGTCATCATGCCATATGAATGGATGCTCGATTTTCAGATTCTGAAGCAAAGAAATAGCCACAACAAACAAAGAGAACCTACTTCGTCTTAACACTGGATGCGATGTGACTCAACAGTGGCAAGGAGTATTTCGCGAAGTGCACGGGTGTTAGTTCACCGGCCCATGACTCAAAGACTTGAAGTATATTGGCACCGGCGCGAACCTGAAAATTCGAGTGATTATAGGAGAATAAATTCAATGATTGCGTATCAAAAACGGACTTCGTGAGCGTAACTCAGTGGGCGATTACACATCAAAATGAGACACAGTACTTTGTACATAAAGCTACAATGGAGGCTCTGAGCAGCAGTGAGCAACGCACGATTCGAAAGAAAGCACCAGAGTGCCATGGGTCAGGTCTGCACACTAACCTGTTCAACGAGGTAGTCGATTGATAGATCGGCAATCATGTACAGGAGCTCCAAACTCTCAACGGGATACTTGTAAAGCCAAGCCTTCGCTTTGCTGAACGTTTTACTGCCTCCGCCTTCGACCATATACGCCATCAGTGTCCACTGTCACATATTAATCACCGAGAAATAGGTACGTTACATTACACATTCCATACATAGGAAAATAAATTCTGTCTTGATCTAGTGTGAAGCGGATCTTGCGCTGGCGGCTAAGTGTGCAGGGGCGATTGATGAGTTTGAGTTTGGTGTGAATGCGGACTGAAATTGCGTAGGCAATAAGAAGTACACGTTGTCATGTCGGTTAAGAGCAAAGCATGTGCCACAAAGTATGCAGTGTCAACTTCCGTTGTGAGACCCTTCGAGGAAAACGTCCGGTAAATAGTATCGTAGGTGACGTGGCAATGGTTGAGACACCCGATAAAATTCCTGCGCCACTTACCGGACCACCACAGAACCCAATAAGAGGCACCTGGCCGTCTAATTGCCTCTTAGTCTCTTTGATAGCTTCTGAAACGTATCCTAGAGTCGCTTTAACATCGGGTTTGGCCTACGAAATCCATAAATGAAAGAGAGGCAAGCTGTTTAAAAACCGCATGTGGAGATTTTCGATAGTGGCGAAAGCTCTTGCCCGCATTAATTTTCAGGGCCAATGCGGCATTCACATAGTTTAATTGAGACATGAAAGTTGTGTACGTTCCAAGCTTGAGATTTGAGATGGGGGCTCAAATCTAAAGGTATCGGGCGGGAAAAGCCATCCAGAACCGTGCCGCAAGAGCATGTTATCCACCGCATTGAATACCCTACAACATACCGTCAGTTTCTTCATGCACTCAGGTGTTATCAATGGTTCCGGAAAGTGAGGGCCTTTACCAGGAATCATCTCCACAGTCATACCTAACGCCTACACCACGAGAAAAACAAGAACAAGAGGTAAGAACGGTAGTTATGTTGCCCAGAATGGTGCCCAATAGCTTTCGTTCAAAGCGATAGTTGACACTTCTCAGTTAGAGAAAAAAGAATGTGTGAGCGTATTGTATCGTTCAACTGTTCTCTGCATCTTTTGTAGATAATTCTTAAGGCCCAAGGTGCAGCATTGTACAACATGGGATAATACATTTAAATGAAAATTTTTACACATGGGGCCAGCAGGGCCAAACCATACGCAACAGTCCCGAAAACTACAACGTAGAAGATACGGGGGCAAAATGACTCCCACAAATATATAAAAGGTAGTTGGTGGGAGGTAACCATACCTGAGGAATGACAAGGATATCCGAGAATATAATTACGGCATCCAGAGGAAATCTTCTGAGAGGTTGCATGGTAACCTAGACAAAAACCGAGTTATGAATGTAAGGACCTTGATAAGCAGAGCTAGATGATGGTGCGGTACGTACGCTGTTACATAGACAGCGTTTCATGCTGTCAAATTACAAATGAATCGAATGATATGGGGACTACCTGAAGCATAGAACAATACAAAAAAAACCATCGAATATGTATATTGCACTTAAGCAGGTGTTGCATGACACACACTTAAAAGACTCTTCCAAAAATATTTTCTCAATTAACAGCTAGCTAGTCTTGGAGACATGTACCCTGTCCGTGAGCATATATACTGTAAATGTAAAGTAGCACAAACTTGAAACATGTATTCAAAAAAACCGACAGAGAGTGTGCAAAAATATGCTGTGGAGCATCGCAGTTCGATGTGCACCAATACCTTCATACACAGAATCGTATACATATATATATATATATATATATATATATATATAGTATACATATTACTACTATATACATACACACACACACACCACACCACACACACACACACACATATATATATAT